CGTGCAGCAAAATCTAATTTTCGAGGTAGCTACTTTAGTTTCTATGAGTCATTGATTAACTAATAGCTCATTCAAATGAGCTATTTCCTAATGTAGAGGAAACAATCAAAAGGCAATCTTGTAAATAAGATCACTAAATTTGTAACTAACATTGGACACAATGGCTCTCTGCCTCACATTCACCCTCCGGTCTCAAAACAACTTCACATTTTCCTTTTCGGTAGGTTCAAAATAAACTTCGAGAATATTACCTGAAATAAGACTAAAACAGTTTGAAAATTCCAAAATAGGACTGCCATGTTTTTATTCCCAAAATATGACTAATTACTGTCATGAATTGGCAGTACCAAACTTCAAACATGGCAGTATTTTCTAAACATGGCAGTAATTAGTCCTATTTTGGGAATAAAAAACATGACAATCATATTTTGGAATTTTCAATCTGTTTTAGTCCTATTTCAGGAACTTTCCCATAAACTTCACACTTCTACTTTTGTCAACTTTTCAATATAAAGTTACCCTTATACCCTTACTTTACTACCTACTTTACATTCACTTTCTTTCTCCCACTGCACTTTATCTACTTTATTGGGGGACATAATAGGAAAATCAAAACAAAAAAATTCACTTTCTTAAAAACCATGAAATCCAACCGTGAAGTTCTTTTTGGACAGGAGGAAGTATATGATAACAAAGAGTCTACACCACAATGCACAAAATAAAGATAAAGATTAGGAAACGAACTAGTTAGAAGGATGTAGAAAATAACATTTTAATCCAACCATTCTAATCCTTTAATTTGAACTAGTTAGAAGGATGTAGAAAATAACATTTTAATCCTTTCACCATAAATAGAAGCATTATTAATAACAAACTATATCTTAAGTTTAATTTCATGGATATTAAGAACTAAGAAGTATTGTTGTCATGAGAACATCAATATATAGAAGGAAACATTAAAGCCAAGTGTAAATTAACACACAAGCTAAAATATCTGAAAGAGACAACTAGGGCTACTGGGATGATCAACTTGCTACTCTCCAATTTAGAAATGAGTAAATGATATTGGTCAATGGATCCATGTAACTCTATGTAACATGTAAGAAAATCTAAACTCTTGAGGTTCATATGTAGCAGTTTGAATCTTACTCCATGTAAGATATGTCAGATTTCTTTTTCTCATTTCGATCACCCATCTTTTTTATGGAAAATAGCTACTTAATTAGATTGGTTTCGTATCATATCAAACCAGACTTAATAAACCAAATCAAACTACATTAGATCAGAATTTTGACGGTTGTCAAATGTACATAGAACATACTTAGTATATCGATTAGATCAGATCAAATTTTAACAAATTAGACCGGATTAGAGAATTACATCCAATTAAAACATCCTTAATCTAAATACAAAAAGTACGTCTATCAAATAAATTGTGAAAAGTCAAAATCACCTTCTTCCCTCTAGTATTCAACAAGTCAAATGAGAGGTCAGATCATGTGCGTTCTGGTATTATATATTTTTTCAAAACAACGCGAGGAAAATGTGTGTGCAAATTCAAATGCATAAAGTCATAAAGGCGCTAAGCTAAAACGAGGAATAGCTTGGGTACTAAATTAAATACTACTCCCTCCGTTTCACAATCTTTGACACACTTTCCTTTTTTGGTTGTTTCACAATCAATGACACACTTCCTTATTTTCTTATTTGGTAAACAAATCCTTACCAAAACAGTGCAAAACAATGTCAAACAGTGCCAAATAATGTTCAAACAGTGGCAAACAATGTTCAAACAGTGTCAAACAGTGTACTCTACAGTAAAATTTACCCCTCAGTAACATCTTTTCCTTAATTCTTGACAAGTCAAACTGTGTCAAAGATTGTGAAACGGAGGGAGTACTATACTAGTAACAAGTTCGAAGTTCAGTCTTACTTTTCATACTCGTATTTGATTCATGTTTGTCTCTTACTAATAGTTTGATAATCTAAATAAGGGGGCCGGGGTTTGCAATTTCAGTCATGCAATTTTCGGTTGTTATCGTTTTTTGTCCTGTAACTTTAATCACTTGCAAATTTGATCCTGTAACTAATAAATCTATGCAATTTAAGGACTTCTTCACCGGAAAGTACACTTTCCGGCAGAAAAATCCGACGCTGACGACATTTTTTCTGGTATATCATCGCTGGAAAGTATACTTTTTAGAGAAAAAGTCCTTAAATCACAAATATTAAATAGTTACACGATCAAATTTACAAGTGAGTAAAGTTGCGTGACTAATAATGAAAACAACCAAAAGTTATGGGAACTAGCTTAGTAACTTTTGGTTGTTTTCATTATTAATCTCGCAATTTAACTGAAATGAGAGACTCGCTAATCACACATAGAAAATGTGTCATTTCCAAACTTGAAAAAGCTAAGATTGTGTCTACAAAAAGGGAAACTTCTTTTACATATAACCCAGGGTTGAAACATCCATTTTCCTAAAAAGGGGTAATTTGATATCACATGAATTCGAGGAAAAAACAGACGTGAAATTAAAGAAAACCTAATACCTTCGGAGTCAAATTTGTATATTCTATATAGCAGTTAAGATTCTATGTAACATGTGTATATATTGCTTTTCATTGATTCTTTATGCAAAGATTTCAACAATTTAGGGAACAAGTAGAAAAAGATAAATGTAATCTAGCTAGTCAGCACAATGAATACTTTGGTAATAACAACAAAATCATTTAGAATGGCGGTTAAAAAGTGTCTATTTCACAAAAATCAAAATTGTTATACTTCGTATTAAAACAGCAAATTAAAGACAAAACGGAGGCTCAATATCCATTCTTGTAATGGTGTGTTTGTTTTAGATGAGGGAGATTTATGTTTGACCATTATCATATATTTATGTGTTTGTTTGTTTGTTCCTCAGGGTGTTCTAAAGTATTTTATCTATTGAACAATAATGTTATTTGGTCCACCATCCGAGAAATGTAACTTTTCCAACATTAAAATCCCAAAAATAAGGTTAAGAGCAAGAAATATTACATAAAAATCAATATATAAATTATTACATATGTTCTATATATGTATTTTCACATTTTATTTTGGGAAAATCGCACATTTGACCCCCCAATTATCCACCATATTGAAATCTCAAACCCGTGTTTCAGGTTTTCTAAATTTCACCCTCGAGTTGTCCGAATAATTATAAATGTCACCCCTGTCGTTATAAATTTCACCCCCGAGTTGTCCGAATAATTATAAATTTCACCCCCGAGTTGTCCGAATAATTATAACGGCAGGGGTGACATTTATAATTATTCGGACAACTCGAGGGTGAAATTTAGAAAACCTGAAACACGGGTTTGGGATTTCAATATGGTGGATAATTGGGGGGTCAAATGTGCGATTTTCCCTTTTATTTTCAAAGTTTTGGGTGTTCATATGAACACCCTTGAACAAAAGAGGTCCGCCCCTGTATATAGGGGATCACTGGGTCTTTTTTTAGTTAAATATATATACAAAGTCTAATAGAGTGTAATGTACAATAACATTATCTCAGTGTCACAAATGCTCCCAATTATGATGGGGTAAGAAGTCTAATACAATAATTTATTAATTTGAAATGTATAGAAAAACAGGGAAAATCGCACTTTTAATCCCTCAAAAAGTCACCATATCGAAATGTGAGATCCTTGTTTTCGAGATTGTAAATGTCACCCCTCAATTGTCCAAATTGTTGTAAATGTGGTCCTTTGAAGGGTGAAATGTACAATGTGGGTGAGAGTACATTTCACCCACCTAAGGACCACATTTACAGCAATTTGGATAATTGAGGGGTGACATTTACAATATCCGAAATATGAGTCTGACATTTCAATATGGTGACTATTTCAGGAACTAAAAATGCGATTTTCCCTAAAACAAATTTGTCGAGGATACTTCATTTCATAGTATACAAAAATACATTTTATGAAAAATTGATGGTTACCTTAATCAACTTTGACATCTAAAGTTTAAAACGGGAGGAGGTTCAATTCTTAATGCATTTCTTCTTACCCTAGCTTCTCAAATCCTCAAAATGGTGAGAAATTGAAATGTAAAAATTGCTTAATTACCACCGAATGGGGTGTGGTTATTTTTTATTTTTCCTTCATCAGGGCCGTCTAATAAATTTGTAGGCCTCGGTTCAAAATATAAAATCGGGGCCCCACATTAATATAAACAATTGAAATCTCAATCTAAATACTTATACTCAAATCAATTGAATATTGATTAAAAGAGGAAAACCAGAGAGTAAAAAGACCAACGAAAAAAATGATGCATCTATATATTTCTTCCTTAGTAAGGATATCTTACCGATTAATATATAATATTACTACATAATATTAATAAATTTTTAAAAATTTGGGGCCCCATAAATTCGGGGCCGTGTTCTGGATAACCTGAACCCCTAAAAAACGGCCCTGTCCTTCATACATCATCTCCTAGCTCTATCTCCAAATTCCAAACAAAACACACCCTGACGTTATCAGTTCAAGTAATCACGAGATTATATCTTGATTTGGATTAACTTTTTTCCTTCACTCATAGTTTTTCATTTAAACATGAAGTGGTAAATTAAATATGCTTAAGCAATAAAAAATGCCCAAACCCTAAGAGAGTTTTCAAATTCTTGTGATTTTGAATGTAACCAACAACAAGAAACCTAAATTGCCTTAAAATCTGGAAACAAACACAATCTAATCAATTGAGTCTCGGATTCGGTCAGACAGATTTCTTTTCGATCCGATCAGATTGCTTGTGGTCAACCCAAAATAAACATTTGTAAACAAACTTAAGTAAATCTAAAACCTGCATTTGTAAATATTTGTAAACATTAAGCTTAAAAATAAAACAACTAACTAACAATTGAAGCTGCAAAAACTTTGTAAATTCAGCTAAACTTAAACAATATAGTAAGAAAAAACTAATTCCAGCAATTTGTTTATTTAAAGAGAAATGAAACCTTAATATCAGGACGAAGATGGTTGTGCCATCTCTCACGGCATTGCTTTCCGGCTCGACCGAACATATTCTCAGCAATCTGTGCCCATTTTTTCTCCCCATACTGATTCACCAGCATAATCAACATCCTTCAAACCGTCCCAGAAAAATAAATAAATAAATAAATAAATAAATATCAATTCAAACAATTAAATAATTTATTGTGTTTTATATCAAAAGGATCTGTCGAAATTAGATTTTATGAAATATATATATATATATATATATATATATATATATATGGTAGAATTTATTTAATAAACAGCAGTATGTAGTACTCCACCTGTCTTCTTCATCACTCCACTGGCCCTTGATGAAGGCTGTGGAAGAAGATGAACTATGACCTTTTGGCAGCCCAGCAAACTGTTCTCCATCTTTTTTTCCATTCTTGGTTTTCATTGATCCATGTTCTTCTCTAGCATTTTGTCCATGAAGATGAAAAGAATCTATAAAGCTTGCTGTTTCAGGGAGGCTTGGCCAAGAAACTCCATAGGATGGTGATGCATAACCATTGAAAGCACAAGAAAAGGACAAAATGCTATCTTTTGTGAAACAAGTGGTTTCTTGATTTCCCACATTTAGTAGGGCTTGCTGATTACCCCTCAAGAACCTCTCTATGGGTTTCAATAATGGAGAAGAAGGTTGATTACTGTGGAAATTCACATACCCAAAGTTTTCTCTTCCTCCATCACCACTTTCCATGACAGTTGCAGGAGGGGGGCTCAATCAGCAAGAAGAGAGAATTAGGGAAATTTTATTATGATCAGAGAGGTTTGCAAATTATTATATATTGAATCTCTCTACTTGGGAAGAAACTTGAAAATGTGCATAAATGGCTTTATTTTTGACTAATAAATAGTAGCTTATTACAAGGCTTGTAATGAGGCATTAAATCCCATTTGGTGTCAGCCGTAGATTTTACATACAATCCAACGCAGAAAGTTTGTGTAACTCCTGAACTTCTTCTTATGACAAAATAAAATGGAAAAAAGGGTGGAGAGATTATTGCTTGTCAATAAATTGTTGCTAAGTAATCATTTTTCTTTTGTTTAATTTGTGGGGAAAGAATTACTCTTGATTGACTAAATTATTGGAATGGCTATGTAATAACCGTGCTATATTATATGAGCTGAGGAGTATTACCTCAATTTTGATGAAACATTTGCTGTCATAAATTGTCCCTTCAAATATTACATTCTTTTGATTAAGATTTTTGTGAAACAGTTCATCCTTCGCTTGTGTGTTACGGAATATTTTTTTATTGCATTATATATATCATATAGATCAGATATATCCATTTATCCAACCCCCCATAAAATCACTTTATTATGAAAAAAATGTTGCTCACATATAACTTCTTTCGGAACTTTCTACGTCAACCTTTTGGTGTCTAATTGTGGAGTTCAATGTAAGCAAATTTTAAAAAATTGAAATAGGTTATACTTTAAATAATTTAAATAAAGAAGTGCAGAAAAAAGGGAATGATAAATCTTGTTAGTCATGTCTATTTATTATTAAATAAAGAAGGCTAGAAATTAGTAGATAAACTAAAATGAATAGATCAGAGTTTACAATACAAGGATGGAAAACAACATGTATAAATACTTGCTCATCTCAAAATATGGTGAACTTATTTTTCGGTTTATCAGATTTATGAGCAACTTTTTCACCAAACACTATCATTTATATTTATTTTTGTTTTTCATTTTAATACATATTTCAAAGTAATTTTAGTAATACTACATTAAAATTTATAGAAAATATGTGATGATTAATTTTAACTTAGTCAAATTTTAAGCATTGATATCACCTATAAGGCTATAATTTGAGTGGATGAGATATTGAATTATCATATAATATGTATTATTATATTCATACTTAATTTTATTTTGATGTACAAAGTTAATTTTCATAAATATAATTATAAACATATTTATTCTATAATAACTTAGTATTTCATCCGTTCAAATAATTATAAGAGATATATATTTATAAAGTCGACTAAATTAAAAACAATTATTATGTACTATGTCTTGATATTTAATATAACATTAATAATTAATTCAAAATCTTTATTATAATGAATTAAAAAATATAAATAAAAAATTGGTAATGAATAAAAGATAATATAGAATTTGATGAGTATGTGTTCAAATATTTCTATTATATTTTATAAAAAGTATTGAATATTACTCCCTATGTCACGTATTTAAGTTCTCATTTTCCTTAGCTTTTTTGTATGTCCCAAATAAGTTCACACTTCCTTATTTGGAAAACAAATTTACACCAAAACAGTGCAAAAACAGTGCAAACAGTGTCAAACAGTGTCAAACAGTGTACTCTACAATAAACTTTACCTCTCAGTAAATTTATTTCCTTAATATGTGTGAAGTCAAACTAGGAACTTAAATAAGGGACGGAGGAAGTATATTAAATTTGTAGTAGAAATAATATAAACTCAAATATAATATTTTTAATGCATATATATATATATATACCTGAAAAAGTTAACATCATACATACTTGATTTATTTTTATGGAAATAGATTAAATTATTGTTGGGATCGGATGTCTAGTTCCTCTAAGAATCTTCCATTGAGAAATAAGAATGATGTACATTTTGGTTCATGGAGTTGGACATTTCTTATAGAGAGAATGCACTGTTGGAATAAATCCATGAATACTTTAATCTTCATATTGAAATTATCTGGAGAATTAACTGAGCGGAAGCGTACCTGACTCCATGGGAGATGGCCTTTAGAGATCCGGGAGACGGAGGCTAGGATTTGTGTCTTCTAGTTGATACACACCCTCGGGATTATCTCTCTAGCGATGGGATGCAGAAAGACAGAATGGCGTGTACAACTAGGGACCATAACCCCTTATTTATAGAGTGCTTAACCCTAATCAGCCCATCATTGATTAGGTCAAGCCCATTGGTCTCTACACATTTGGGCCCTATACCTTATTAGATAACTTATTAGCCCACTTAAATTAATATCCATAGGACCACTAATTTTTGGGCCTAAATATAAGATAGCATATAACATACAATTAAACCCGATAAATAACATATTGTGAATATTACATGCAATATAAGTCCAATAATCTAACAATCTCCCACTTGGACGACATACACATGTATACACAATCCTCAGAATTGTACGTTTACTTTAGGAGCTCCAAAATTTTGCTATCAAACTGTAGTCATCTTTAATCAATCCGGTCCATTAATTATATCAACATAGGATCAAAGAAGTCTTTGCTATATTTGAATAACTAGACTCATCAATGATCACATATATTAATATAATAAACGACATGGATCAAATATAGGTGTGTAGCGTGGAAATAACATAAAGTGTGGTCTGGAATAGAATGTCTATTTCCAACTGGTCCACCTTGAGATCAATAATATAACTGTAAGAGTACATAAAACTTTAAACTTAATTTCTGCAGAAAATAACATTAAAACTTGAGTTAACCAAACATAGAAACATTACAAACTCCCACTAAAACTCATAATCCTCAACTGATTTGACACCCATTTGAGCAACATGCTCATGAAACAATTTGGGTGGTAATCCTTTAGTGAGTGGATCCGCAATCATGGAGTTTGTGCTAATGTGCTCTATAGATAACTTTCCTTCTTGTACTCGTTCCTTAACAGCCTTAAATTTGACCCCAATGTGTTTTGCCTTGGTCAAACTACTGTTATTCTTAGCATAGAGGACTGCTGATCTATTGTCACACAATAGCTTGAGTGGTCTTTCAATGCTGTCCACTATGCGTAGTCCACTAACAAAATCGCGCAGCCATAATGCCTGATTGGATGCCTCATAACATGCTATAAACTCTGCTTCCATGGTGGAAGTAGCTGTAAGAGTCTGCTTGATACTCCTCCAGGAGATAGCTCCTCCAGCTAGAATATAGATGTAGCCTTAAGTGGATCTCAAGCTATCTTGACATCCAGCAAAATCAGAGTCGGTATACCCAATGATCTCAAGCTGATCCGATCTTCGATATGTGAGCATATATTCCTTTGTTCTCTGTAAATACCGCATAACCCTTTTGGCTGCTTTCCAATGGTCCATTCCCGGATTGCTCAAATATCTGCCTAACATCCCAACAATGTATGCCAAATCAGGCCTTGTACAAACCTGGGCATACATCAAACTTCCTACAACCGAAGCATAAGGAATGTTCCTCATTTCTTTAGATTCAAAACCATTCTTAGGGCACTGCATGAGACTAAACTTGTCTCCCTTAGAAACTGGGGTATCTCCTGGTTTGCAGTCTTGCATACCAAACCTTTTGAGAACCTTATCGATATAGCTCTTTTGTGAGAGTCCAAGAACCCCTTTGGAGCGATCTCGGTGAATTTGAATTCCTAATACAAAAGAAGCCTCACCAAGATCTTTCATTTCAAAATTCTTTGAAAGAAATCTCTTAGTTTCGTGTAATAAGCCTATATCGTTAGTAGCAAGCAGTATGTCATCAACATACAAGACCAGGAAAATATGCTTACTCCCACTGAACTTGTGGTATATACAATCATCACTGACATTTGGTTGAAAACCAAAAGATATAATGACTTTATGAAACTTGTGATACCACTGACGAGAAGCCTGTTTGAGCCCATAGATGGATTTCTTTAATTTGCAAACCATTTTCTTTGAATCCCCCGAAACAAAGTTTTCTGGTTACTCCATATAGATTGATTCCTCAATGTTACCATTGAGAAACGCAGTTTTTACATCCATCTGATGAAGCTCAAGATCAAAATGTGCCACTAATGCCATTATTGTTCTAAAAGAGTCTTTCGAGGATACCGGAGAGAAAGTCTCTTTATAGTCAATTCCTTTCTTTTGAGTGTAGCCTTTAGCAACAAGACGAGCTTTAAACCTTGTAACATTGCCCTTTGAATCCCTCTTGATTTTAAATATCCATTTACAACCAATGGGTTTAATACCTTCAGGCAATGAGACTATCTCCCAAACGTCATTGTCACTCATAGACTTCATCTCATCTTTCATGGCATTAATCCATTCTTGAGAGTTAGAACTTTCCATGGCTTGACGGAAGTTGATTGGATCATCTTCCGCAAAACCAACATCTGATTCTTGTTCTTGGAGGAAGACAATTATTTTTTCCACCAATTCCCAATTTTCCTCATGTTCTTGGAGAAATACAATATAATCATCCGGAATTGCGCTTCTCCTCTCTCGAGTGGATCTCCTTAACGGCACCTCAGGTTCTTGAGGTTGTTGAGTTTGATCCTCATTCATAAATTCAGGTACTTGATTGGGGATGTTTTCGAGATTGTCATGAACTGGAGTTGTTTCTTGAACATCATTAGGAATAAAAATATCTTGATCATGTTCAATGACAACTGAAGGAAGAGTAACATGCTCTTCCTCAAAGACAAAATCTCTAACCTTATCTCCCCACCCCCCAAACTCAATATCCTCAAAGAACCGGGTATTACCCGTCTCAAAAACAGTCCTAGTAGTGGGATCATAAAACTTATACCCCCTTGACCTCTCAGAGTATCCTACAAAATAGCTACTAACTGTTCTTGAGTCCAGTTTCTTTTCATTTGGCCTATAAGGCCTTGCCTCAGCTGGACAACCCCAAACATGGAAATGATTTATACTGGGTTTCTTTCCAGTCCAAATTTCATAAGGGGTTTTAGTTGTAGCTTTAGTGGAAACTCTGTTAAGTATGTAAGCTGCAGTTTTCAGTGCCTCTCCCCAGAGTGAATCGGGTAAAGTAGTATGACAAATCATACTCCTAACCATGTCCTTCAATGTACGGTTTCGTCTCTCAGCAACACCATTCATGCTAGGAGTTCCTGGCATGGTGTACTGAGGAACAATTCCACACTCCTCTAGGTATTTAGCAAATGGCCCTGGACGTTGTTCACCGGAACCATCATATCTACCATAGTATTCACCACCACGGTCAGATCTAACGGTTTTTATTCTTTTGCCTAATTGATTTTCAACTTCGGCCTTATAAGATTTGAACACGTCTATTGATTGGGACTTTTCATGAATGAGATAAAGGTAACCATAACGAGAGTAATCATCTATGAATGTGATAAAATATGTTTGGCCATTTCTACATGGTGTAGGGAATGGTCCACAAATGTCCGTATATATCAATTCTAATAGATCTGAAGCTCTCTCGGCACCTAACCTCCGTTTGTTCGTTTGTTTTCCCTTAACGCACTCAACACAAATATCAGAATTTGAGGAGTCAAGAGAATCAAGAATTCCATCTGACACAAGTCTCTGAATTCTTTCTTTAGAAATATGTCCTAGACGCTTGTGCCAAAGTGAAAATGAATTCTCATTGGTTAATTTTCTTTTAGTACCACGAGTACTTACATGCAAGGTTTCATTATATGAGGTATTTATATCAAGTGAATATAGATTATCATAAACTGATAAAAGACCAGTGCCAATAAGTTTTGAATCTTGAAATAGACTGAACTGGCTATTTCCAAATGAACAAGAATAACCAAATTTGTCCAATGCAGAAATAGAAATTAAATTCCGCCTAAATGACGGCACAACAAATGTCTCTTTCAAATCCAAATAAAAACCAGACTTTAATAATAATCTAAAAACACCGATAGCCTCAACTTCAACCCGCTTGCCATCACCGACATAGATGTATCTTTCACCATCAATTGGTTTTCGGCAGCTCAGGCAACCCTGCATAGATACACTTATGTGAGTAGTAGCACCGGAATCTACCCACCAAGTGTCTTTTGGTACCGAAATTAAATTAACCTCAGAACAAACAAGAGCAAGAGACATACCCTTTTTCGCACGCCAAGCATGGTACTTAGTGCAGTTCTTTTTCTTGTGATTAGTCCCTTTGCAAAAGAAGCATCCAGATTCCTTAGTTTCTTCCTTAGTTTCCTTGTGATGCTTCCTGGGAGGCCCCGAATTTGCAGCTTCCTTAATATTTCTTTTATTGCTGCCCTTAGAGGTAGATGCCAAATGAGCACTTTCTGTCTTATCTTGCTTTATTCTCTCTTCCTCTTGAACACAATGAGAAATGAGCTCATTGAGAGACCATTTCTCCTTAATGCAGTTGTAACTGACTTTAAATTGATTAAATTGAGAAGGAAGAGAGATCAAAACTAAATACACAAGCAATTCCTCAGGTAAAATAAGCTTTAGTGCACTTAGTTTCGAAGCAATATGAGACATTTCCAAAATGTACTCCCTTATGTTCCCTTTGCCTTTATACTTCATGGAAACAAGAGTGCTCAAAAGAGTACTAGTTTCCGCCTTTTCGTTTTTAGCAAAACGCTTTTCAAGTTCGGCAAGGAATGATTTGGCATCGGCCTCATCAGACATTGTGCCCCTGAATGATTCTGGAATTGCACGTTTCATGATCATTAGACTCATGCGGTTTGAGCGTTCCCACCTCTCCATCTCCCTGTTTTCATCGAGGGTAGATGTGTCCTTAAGAGCGGCGGGTTTCTCAGTCCGAAGTGCAAGGTCTAGATCCATGCAACCGAGAACGATAATAACATTCTCTTTCCATTCCTTAAAATTCGTGCCGTTAAGCACTGTGATGCTATTAATATTAGCAGATATTGTAGCAGCAGAATTGTTGACTGAAAGAGAACAAAAATAATATAAATGATATGCTCTAGAAATTGAAATTAATTTTATAATTAATTTTAAATTTAAATATTAGCAATCCCCATCACAAGATACCTAGCGCAACATATAATCTTGTCTTTGGACATAAATTAGACTTGCAAGTGGTACTCTTGGTGTGATAATAAAATTTTGATAATAAAATCTTGTCAAATATTAAGCCTTTCTTTGGACCGACTTAATATTCACACGAAAAAACTTCATAATCATCACAAATTTTTATTATCACAAATGTACTTAAATTTCGGCCAAATAATAACCTTCCTTTGGGCCGATTACTATCCGCATGAAATAAGAAAGCACACAATCATCTTAATATATGAGTTAATTAATTTCAACAAGAGAGGCTACTTTGGCAGCATGTTGCGTCAATTAATCAACCCAAATATTAGACATGCTAATATTAAATCAACAATCTGAAAATAAAATTGGGCGATTTTTTTTTTTTTTGAATCACATGCAAATGTGTTATGTGTAACGAAATTTGTAAAACCTGTACCCAATCTTTATGTGATCACAAATTAGGGTTTATACATCCATAACACATAATACATTTTTAAACTGTAAATCATGATCACCAATAAAAGTAATTTATTTCTAAATATGCAATTCTAATGGAACTGATTTTGCCCGTAATCACATATAAGTATTTAATTACCAAAATCGGTAAAAAATCACATATAAGTATTTAACTACTCAAGCCATAAAAAATTCCAAAAATTGATTCACCGAAAAGAACCGGAAACGAATCATAATAAAAAGTGATAAATTAACATTCACTAAATATGATTTGATCATCCATTTATTTCTAAACCAGTGAATCCAAAAGATGATTCCAATAATTAACAATAAAAAGAAGAAAATAAACTAGACCATTGAATCATCTCACCAACAAATCAATCGCAAGTTTGACTGACTCAAAATAAAAATAAAAAACCGAATGTTTAATTCCACCATACTAATTGCCGAAATTCAAAATATAAAAAAAAATATACTCCTTAAGGTAGTTGCTTCACAACAACGTTAAAAATATATATTCACAACAACGTAAAAAATATATATACTCCTTAAGGTGTTTAATTCCACCATCCAAATGTTTAAATTACCCAAAAGAACACAACAACGTAGTTGCTTCACATCAACGTAATTGCATATAGAGTTGAAGTGAAACTCCAGTTGGGACAAAACACGATCACAAAAAAAAACTCCAATATTAAGGTTTCAATTAATCTATAAGCATCGATTCAAGCATGGGAATTACAGGGGAATGAATTACATAAAAGTAAATCACACTACCCTAATTTAAGATCGATCGGCAATTTTCACAACAAACGAAATAGCAGAAAATTCAATCGTTTCGTTTAATCATTAACTACCGATATGATACGTGAATATATCAGGAATGAATTGCATAAACACAAAATCGCATTACCCTGATTTCAGTGAATCGGTAGGTTAAACTGACTCCAAATAATTCAATATGAAGGAGGCTCTGATACCAATTGTTGGAATAAATCCATGAATACTTTAATCTTCATATTGAAATTATCTGGAGAATTAACTGAGCGGAAGCGTACCTGACTCCATGGGAGATGCCTTTAGAGATCCGGGAGACGGAGGCTAGGGTTTGTGTCTTCTAGTTGATACACACCCTCGGGATTATCTCTCTAGCGATGGGATGCAGAAAGACAGAATGGCGTGTACAACTAGGGACCATAACCCCTTATTTATAGAGTGCTTAACCCTAATCAGCCCATCATTGATTAGGTCAAGCCCATTGGTCTCTACACATTTGGGCCCTATACCTTATTAGATAACTTATTAGCCCACTTAAATTAATATCCATAAGACCACTAATTTTTGGGCCTAAATATAAGATAGCATATAACATACAATTAAACCCGATAAATAACATATTGTGAATATTACATGCAATATAAGTCCAATAATCTAACATGCACACTTCGCAATAACAGAAAAAATCAATTTATTTACAAAAATATCACTGTTTTTTCATCCGATCAATGCACATTTTGGTTTCAAATAATGCACAACTATCAAATTCAACTCTCTATATTCATTGCGTTTCTATCCTAAGATGTCTTTCTCACTTGATCTTAAATCTATATATTTTTAGTAGGCCCGATCTGATGTCTACTATGTATCTTACTTCCTTAATAAATTGGTAAGGTGTCTTAAAAAATAGTAAGATATTCCTCAGCCCTTACTCCTCTTTGGATGGTTTGCCACTCGAAAAAGAAAAAAGAAAAATAAAGATCTCTTCATGTGTTTTGAAGTGTATCAGTCTCAGCTCTCTCTTCATATGAACTTTAGTATTGTCTATAATGTCTAATCTATTTACATTTGATCTAATTTGAACTTGTTCATTGGTTACATTCTAGTTTTGTCTCATTTATATTTTATTATTGTGAAAGTGTGATATGGTTAATTTGATCTCTTCAAACATGCTCTAATATGATCTAGTATTTATACTTCGTATGTGCGAGTAGTTTGATCTCATATGGTTTTACTTGATTAAGTGTGGAGTACAACAAAAATGCAATAAGATATTTTTAATTGTATTGTAATTTTATGGTCTAGTTTGGTTTGCCGTGAACTGGTTTGGTCTAACCTTGTCTGGTAGATGTATAATGTATGTATATTTTAAAAATGTTAAAATTTAACCTGATTTTGTTTAAGTCTGATCTCATCTTTTTAAATCCGGTCTGATCTGATCTGGTTTGTGGGGAAACGACATAATACATAGTATATGCATTTACAAAATGGGAAAAAATAATTTAAATACTTCAAACATTGAAAAAATGTGAAGTAAGTACCCCAAAGTTGTATATGTAATATATACCACAACATTTGTATATTATAAGTTATTTTAGCATATCTTTTCTTTCACAAATGTAAATTTAAGGTGTTAAGCACATAATTAAATATACTTTTAGCATTCGTGAGATACAATTAACATTCTAAAGTTCCATTTTGAAATTCATAGTAACTAATCACAACTTGATCTATATAATTGCACCGATTTTAATTTAATAGTTCTCATCACATGACTTTCATTATTAACATTTTTAATTGACTTTTATCGTATTTACACACTTTATTCTGATTATATGTTGTCATATTTCATTTTTTTATTGTCCAAAAACGTTTTCACTAAAAAAACATACGGAGTAGTTGAATTCCCGTAGGAGTAAAAAAGTTTGGAATTTCTAAAATAGGACTATCATATTTTTTTCCTGAATAGGAGTAAATTTCTGATAAGTTTGACATTACTAGGCTTTAAACATAACATTTTTTCCCAAACTTGGCAGTATTACTCCTATTTAGAGAATACAAACATGAAATCCTATTTTAGAATTTTAAAACGTTTTTACTCCTATTTAGGGTAATTTGTATTTAATTTTTTAAGTTTTGAATTTTCCACAGGCTTCCTTTGGCGGTAGAGTTAAGACGGTGGCATCGCCAAAAAGACACCAATTCAACATGTTTAATTAGTTAAGTCCTGCTCGGCAGAATCGCTTGAAACACTAATTTGATTGGTTAAGGCGAAGATCCAAATTCGGATTGAGATCCTCTCATAAGGCAAAGTATCAAATAGATGATAGAGATTAAAATCCAAGCCTTGAGATTCGTGTAAAAAATGGGGTCCTCATCCCCCACTCCGGGTTGGAGATGCCTCGCCCCATCCCCAACCGCGACACGCTAGACCCACGGATACCCAACGAGGAAAATATTCGTCAAAAATTAACACTATTTTAGATCCAAATAGTTTTTCAAAAATCAAACGATACTTCTAGTATGTAGTCAAAAAACCTTTTAGTTTTTAAGCGTCAATGTAATCTTACATGCCATTTCAAATCTAGAATACATTATACACGTTTTGATTTAGTCATTTTATCAAACACTTTATTAGCATTGGTTAGCTCTATAATATTTTCTTAAGCCCTTCATTCAATCAACCATGGTCATTTGACAGCATCTAGGATGACCTATGGTCACCTGATTTTTAAGAGTCCTAACTACAATCACAAAGATGACATTCCTAAGAAAAGAATTAATGCAATATAATAGTAAACGAAGAAATCATTCACACTGTTCATGAGGCGTGTAAGCTAATATCACTTTATAACTTTCCCAAATTCATTTTACTCTATATGATTTTGATAACAAATTTTACAAGATAGCTGAGTTATTAAACAAGAATTAGATAGACCCATTAGGCACAACCCATTAGATATGAAACAACTAAAACCACCACAACTAAAACCACCGGGCCACCATGCTATTTTAATTACTTCGTATTAGTAATTACATATTTATGATTAAAATGAAGATTGTTTACAAAATGTGACTAGTGACTAGAGCAGTAATGAAATTATAGTAACTTATGGTCAATTTTTAAACTTAGGTTACTGTGAGACTACATTATTGTAGTACCTAATAGTCATATTTGTTTAAAATAATTTCATTTTAGTAATATTTTTGTAAAAAACCCTTATTATTAGTATTATTATTGTTGTGATTGTTATTATTAATTATTAATATGTGTATATATACGAGGGACGAGGCGGGGACGGTGCGGGGGGTGAACAACCCATCACCCGACCCATATTTAAACGAGAAGGAAATAATTCCCCCACCCCACCACCCGCCCCAACTCCCCCCACGGGGCGGTTCCCCACGGTCCCCCGCCCCCATTGCCATCCTTATCCTCAATCTTCTATCATTCATTTTTTGATCTAATGGCCGGTTACAACAGCCAGACACCCTCCTTGTCTGCTTAACCGAGGCAGAGATGTCGGATCCGCCACATTCCGGGAGGGGGCCAAGGGATGTATCGATGTTTGTAGTAGTACAAATTCATTAGAGAAAT